ACCAAAGTATCTGAGCTTGAGCTTCATTATCAATCCTTCCAATGAGCAATCAGGGTTGAGTATATGGGATACACAAATGCAATTAAATGAATTTGTCTCTAACACTACTTTATAGTTTAGGAGGTCTTCCTTTTTTTTTTAAACAGATATTTGAAATACAATCAAGAAAGAACAAAAAAAGATTAAAAGAGCAAAAAAAATAGGAAAGAGATTTACAAGCTGTATAAAATTAAATAATGTTTGAAGTAACCTTAGATTAGTATTGCACATAAAGGAGATCTCATATCAATTTAGCCCTTTAAAATTATTATTAAAATCAAATAAATATTTAGTGTTTAACAAAGGCAGCCAAAGTGATAAAAGTAACCATTCAGAATAAACCATTCAGAATAAAATTAGTACAAATTTCTATATAATCTGAGAAAGTCTGTCCTTATTATAATGCATCAGGCAAACATTTGTCACAGAAATGGCAAAATCTAATATTTTAAAGCATTCTGTTAAAACAAGTTTGTGTGCAGAGTTTTAATCTATAAATGGTTGCCAGGTTGTTTTTAAATGCAACTAAGTCTTGTTTTATTATTTATAAATTACGCCATACTTTGACCAGTATTATAATTATTGGGTTTTTGTGTGGTTATTATTTGCTGTCTCACAATTTGTTTTCTTTTTCTTCTTTTGTTTTTGAGCTGGTCAATGGCTGTAATAAACTACCATTGGTACTGCCACCAAAGTTATTATTGACATTAATGCATACTCTCATAACTTAATCCTCCACTTTCTAAGAATGAATTAAGCCTAAAGTTTCCTAGCAACTATCATTGCATAAAAACTCTGTATACTTTGTACTTAACTTTGTAGGAATATAGGAATAAATGCTTAAGAGGATAACAGCTGGCAAGAAAGAAAAGTTGATATTTAAAATTTGTTTTATGCTTTGATGAATTATTTTTCAGAATTGTTGAGCTATGTGACATTGCCACTAAGCGTGAAAAAAACGATTCAACCTAATTGTTGCATTTCCAACCATTTTTGAATATGAATTATCTATTTTGTCAATCAGCAGTGGTGTAATTTGCCAACAAGAAACACCTTGTACTAAATTTCTGTGAGTGTAATATTCAGAAGAAATTTGATATTTATCTTCCAGTAGTATTCCCATTGTTGCATATCATTTGTCCTGTTTAAATTCTGCATCCACTTAATCATGCCGTCTTCGATGTGGTTGGTTTCTGAATTGTATTTCAAAAGCAGTAAAAGTAAGTCCTAACGTGCATTCTGAATGTTGTTATAAGTCTTTCAAATTCAGTCAGGTCTCTGAGTGTTCAACCTTCTTGTGTGTTCTTGACTCTGGAAGAAACTACAATTTGTCAGAAAATCCACGTCTTGATTCTCTGTTAGCATTATAATCTCCCGTAGGGCACGGACCCATCCGTTTCTTTGTGGAAACTCCTTGTGATGAAGTGTCAAGACTACTTTCAAAACAACATATTTTAACTTTGACACACTTATGAAATAATCCTTCCTTGGTGCATTGCATCTCTAATAACCTGCTGGGCGGTGTAAACGCAGGCGGGGAGGCAACTTGAGTTGCTTGCTTAGGGAACAATTCCTGTGCTTGAGTTTCTAGGTGGAGTTTTTTTTCCCCCTAGATTGTTGATCTCAAACTGTGAGCTCTGCTTTGCTAAGAGGTTAGACCTTTTGCTCAGG